AATCAATAGCAACTTGAAGTGAGAGTTAAGATTAATAATAAAAGCATAGCCATTATATTGTTTTCAAGTTTGGAATGAGAATGAACAAAACCTATTTTTATTTATGTATTTATTGGATTGAGAACTTCTCTTTGTTAGGCAATTAAGATTATGTACGAGAGAAGATTTTTTTTATCAAATAATATGAACCTTTTTTTAATGAAAAGGAGTAAATTTATTAAGAATAATAGAAGAGACAAAAAGCCAAAATACGTAAATAGACCAAAAGTTTAAGATTCAAAGTTTGATTATGTAAGAAGACTTTTTTATCAAACAATGTAAACTTTTAATTTCTAAATCTATGGTGATTGTGTCCTATCATGTTTTTTTTTTTTTTTTTTTTTTTGAACTAGAGAATTTCATTACTCGAATAGAATCAAAAGCCAAACATTGCATCAAAAACTATGGAGGGACATAACCCCATTCCGCCAAATTAGGCAAAGAAAAAAATGACTTAGGTAGCTTATAAGCCACTTGATTAATTGATAGTTTGATAAAATGAAAAACCACATTAGGAAAGCACACCTTAAGAGAAAAACAATCATCAACTAACATATCAAAATTTGGTCTCGTCTTCTTTGTGGCCGTTAAAGGCCTCAATCACCACTTGTGCATCCGCCTCTAACACCGCATTTGGAACTAACCTATCCTTCAGCCAGCTAAGGGCTCCCTCACACCCATAGCTTCGAAATTTTGGGATCCACCAAGCCCTTAAAGGTGTGTGACCTTGTTGCCACCATACACCTTTCGTATCCCCAATTACACAACTAACACCGAACTTATTTCCTCCTTCAAATAGAGTAACATCTATATTTGCCTTGACCCGACCAACCCTCGGTTTTTTCCATTTAGAGATGTGAGAGGACCGCCATAAAGACTCTCTCTTCTAGATCATCTTCCTAGCTTGGGCATCGGCCCAATCCTCGAGGACTACCTTACTCGGCTATCATACTCTTTCCCTTCTATACCACATCATTTCTATTCCTCCATATTGCCCAACACAACATGGCAACTTCGATTACATTGTTGTGTAGTACACTTAGAGAAAGCCACGGACAACCGGTTTGTAAAGGAAGAAGCTTGACCTCTAACAAAAGCATCATTTCTATTCCTCCATATTGTCCTATCATGTTATTCCAACGATGATAAATTTTTAACTTTTTTTCATATATATCTTTATGCCTTTTTTATGTTTTATTTTTATTATTTTTTATATTTATACATAGTAAGATATTAATTTTTAAGTTAATTTTTACTTCAATCAAGACTTACTCTGTTATTTTTTTTAAATAAGTTAATATCATATTAAGTTTAATTTTTAATCGATTCCAAAAATTACATTCTTTGAATCCACTAGAAGCCCATATCTAATGTAACATAAAGAAAAAGAAAAAAATTTCTAATAACAAAAATATCATTTCACCTGTAATTTTTTTATAATTTTTTATTGTTAGATATATATATACACACACGATCTTATTAGTGAAATCATGATGTTCAATATTGCTCATTGTCCAAATTGCCTGCTAGAAAAACTGTCATCAATGATGGAAAAATTCATTAGTGGTTGAGAATATGTCAACCATGGATTGACAGGTTTTTGTTCATCATAAAAACCTTAGTCACTGAATTGAATATGGGATGAAAAGCAAATTTCGTCGAAAACTTGATGCATATCTATCCCATATTTATGTTTCAGACCGAAAATATCTCAATTCTTGACTTATGACTAAATATTTAGTCAATAGATCATCGCACACACATTTAAAAAAAAATTCTTTTTACCTCAAATTATTTTAAAATTGAAAATCGCACTTTGATTTCTATGGAAAGTAATCACAAATCCGTCATAAAATTATTGAAAACAAAATTAAAATTCCTTGCATCTCTCTAAACGCTTTTTGAGTGACCAGCCGTCCGCGCTTTGAACTTCCCCTCTTTAGAAATCATGAATATAATGATACATCAACTAAAGTGTGTCATATTTTTGCATTCAAATACTAATACGTCAAACTTAAAGCACTTTTAAATCAGTAATACAAAACGACTCAATGTTACCATTTATTATATTTAATTATGTAGTTGTACAATGAAACTAATCAATGGATGCCCCGATTCTATAGATCATAAAAATAATTTATTTTAATAATTAGTCAAACCATTAAATTTATAAAATAAAAAAATAGTTTAGGATGTCCTTATATTTTTAACCATGAACATCTCCAATTTGTCTCTCCTTAAATTAAGGATATATATATATATATATATATATATATATATATATATATATATATATATAGAAGGATTCTAACCACCCACTAATTTAGTAAAATAAAATTTTTATAATATGATAAACCATGCTATTCCAATATAACCTGAGAGAGCCCAACCCTGTCTCCATTCAAGCCAATATCTCCTTCATTAGGTGTAATCTCTAATAAATCCTTCCACTAGAATCTCTAATACCAACCAACAGAAATTTAACGTGTAAATTACATATTATAATTACAATTACAATAGAATTAAACTAAAATCATTGTTTATTATTTATTGTATTATTTGAAACACTAATCATCTAGACTCATATTCAAAAACACTATTCCTTTCACTATATAATGATATTTTTATAGTTTTCAAACATTTTTAAAACATTCATTATAAAAGTTTTTTATTAAAATAAAATTTTAATAACATGATAAACCATGCTATTCCAATATAACTTGAGAGAGCCCAACCCTATCTCGATTCAAGCCAATATCTCCTTCGTTAGGTGTAATCTTTAATAAATCCTTCCACTGGAATCTCTAATACCAACCACTAGAAATTTAACATGTAAATTACATATTATAATTAAAATTACAATAACATTAAACTAAAATCATTATTTATTATACTATTTGAAACACTAATCACCTAGACTCGTTATCCTATTTACCCGGACTCGGATGCACTATTTCTTTCACTATGTAGTAGTATTTTTATAGTTTTTAAACATTTTTAAAATATTTATTATGAAATTTTTAGTAACATTACACTTTGGTCACTTTTTTAAATATGATTTTTTAATCTACAAATATTTTTTATTTGATTTTGATCTTATTTTTTGTTGCATTTTGGTCCTTAATTTTTTTTTCCTCTGATTTTTTTAATTAAAAATTTTAAGGTAAAAATATATTTAGAAAAAAATAATTTTCAATATAAGGTTTTAGCTAAAAATATAGATAGAGATAAATAAATAATTTTTTAGATAAAAAAATTATGAAAATATAAAAAATAATTAGTCAAATATAAAATTTATTTAAAAATGATAAAATTAAATAAATTTTTATTTAGTTTTAATTTGATGTATTTTGATAGATGCGTAATATATTATGAGATATGAAAATAAAATAATTTGTTAAAAATAATTTTATATATTTTGTTGCTGCATAATTTTATGACCAACTTGTCACCACACTGTATCCATACAGCCTCATTTCTTGGATTTTGATACAAGGCCCAAACTTTGTTACTGTTAAGCTTGATTTGTTATAAGAAAGAGGCCCATTATATTAATCTAACAGCATGTTTGTTTGGTAGCGGCAGCGAAGGAGGTGGTGGAGTACCAGCATGTTTGTTTGGTAGCGGCAGCGAAGGAGGTGGTGGAGTAACGGTATGTTTTTTACGATGTAACGTACTGCAATGAAAAATATAATGCAACTGAATTGGTCAACGCATTAGGTTACTTTCCTTTGTTTACAAATATTCTTAATAATATAATACATGCTTTTTACAAAATTTCATTTCAGTCCCTAATTTTTCAAAAAAATTAATCCCTGCATTTTTTTTATATACAAATGGATCATTTTTAGCATTTTTGGTCCTTACATTTTTTTTAAATACATTTTAGTTCTTATGATAATTTTTTTTTGCAATTATATCTCTAAATACTTACTCTTAATCATGTAAATGGTTCATTACATTGTTTTTTTTTAAAAAAAAAAAAGTAATGCTTGCAATGTAATGGATCATCACAATTGTAATGGTCTATTATATTATAATTTCAAAACTTGCTCAACCAAATATAAGAATGTCATGAAATATTATGTTACATAATCCATTACATCCAACTAAATGTGTTGTAAGTTAATCACGTATTTTTTTTATTTCTCAATCTTGACACTCAAGATTTTTCATTTTCTTATATCTATTAAATTGGTCAACATAAAATATTTTATGGTCAATATTTAAATTTAGTTCATTTGTTGAAGAATATTTTCAACTCTTGAAGTTTTATAAAATAAATGATAAATTAATCCCTCTAGTTTTGAGAAACAAATTTAGTTTCTATATTTTTATAATTTATTTTGATTTTTCGATTTAAGAAATAAAAAAAATGAAATAACTAATGAGAAAATTTTAAATTTTTTAAAATAAATTAATATTAAGTTAAGCATGATTAGCATTGATTAGTGAACTAATATATAATTTACTTCAATTTTATAAAATATTTGTTGAACATGAATCCACTCAAAATATCATTCAACTATTTCAATTACCACAACCTTCACCACCAACACTACCACAATACTACCGCTGCCGCCGCCATCACCTCATCACCACAATATAATTATTATTGTACTATAATCATATTTTTCATATTATTACTTAACAAGCACTAATAAATATTTTGCACAAAACAAATGCCTCTGATTACATTGGCTTCAAATAAAATCTATAATGTTCATCGTAATAAGAAATTTTAAGTAGCATAATAACACCCATCTACAGAATTAAAGAATCAGTGTTCCATTTTCTTGAAGGGGCAGGCAAACAGAACGGCAATAACATCCACACAGCAACCTCTACGTGCAAGCAAATTAACACAAGATCCTCCAATTTCAACGTTTTTCCATCACCTTTTAATCAAATAGAACAAAATTAAAAAAAAAAAGTTCCTCTATTCCACTGGCTTTTAAACCTCAAACCAAGCATGTAAAAGTATCATTATTCCCGAGCGTATCACCCGAGCCGACTCTCATGCGTAGACCAGCAGAAAGAACATAGGCAATAGAATCCCACAAATCTATTAAGAGACATCTGTTATAATCATAACTTTTACAACTGGAGAAATACAGTAAAAGTAACATAATTAGACAACAAGCTCAACTAAGATGATCCTAAGGCAGCCACGGCTTTGTCTAAAGCAGATGGGAAAATCTGGGAAGAAATTAATAAAAACTACCCAAGAAGAAAAAAAATTCTGAACTACACTAAAGAGGAACTCATCCATGCTTTGGATTCAATCACGCGTGTTAGGATTAGGATTTCACTTCAATATACTATGCAAGGACTGCCATGCCAATGGGTCCAAAACACAGTATTGTCGAGTGGGAAGCATTTTTCACTGTGGATTTTGGCCAGCCCATAGCTGGTACATCTGCATATTATGAATGGGTTGACTGGGGTTACCATAAATTCCAGGAGTCCGATTAATAGGACTGCCACCATTCTCATCAGACGACTCGCTAGAGCCCCTTTGAGAAGGAGGGCTAGCTGTTGTTAATGGGGCACCAAAATTCAACATCTGGGGTAGGGGTGTTGAGGAAGGTCCAGATTTTGATATGTTTGAATTCGATTTCTTTCCATCTGCAATAAAGCTGCCCACAATAACCTAGCAAGAAAAAAGGAATCCAGTTAAATTATAGATCAAACACAAGGATATTTCTGTCAAGCTTTTGCATATCAAAGATCCCCTGATGCTCAAATGGTAACTGATGACCGTCAGATAGTTTGTCATAGTATTATAACCCCATATAAAAGATAAATGGTGGCTGTTCGAATACCTGTACAGGAGAAGCTGCCGTTAGCATTCCAGCAACTCCCCCACCCAAAACTCGACCATCTGACCCTGCCAGTGACACACTCAAGCCACCAGTTCTGCTCCGACTACCATTGCTTTCAGAAAGAAAGAAGGAACCTGATAGAGAAATTATTTCGAAACGGCCCTGAAAGAAAATGTCATAAAGGCACAGAAAAGTCAGGATTACCACAGGAGGGAAATATTAAATCCTGAAAAATAAATGGAGGGGACAGAACAGTTAATTGAAAGTGACCAAACCCTTTTTTCTGAAGATAGCAGTTATAAGACCAGTGGTGAGGAAGGAAGGTATTAAGCAGTCAATTAAATCTAAGAATCTTGCGTTTTGCCAATATAGACTGCTTATACAATTAAACTTCAAATCAGGGCTTTGAGCATTTACTTCTCAAAAAGTGCATCACTCAATTCATGCAAAAGAATGGTGTTTGAGATATGTCCTTTACCATCACTTATCAGGATCTTATATCCAGCAAAACAGAAGTGAGGTCAAAATAAGGATCATATAGCAGCACAAATTGACTATGGACAACTTTACTCGCAGTTCATAACTTTGAGGATCCTACATTGTTCGATAGATCCAAACACATGCCAGTAGTGGATATTACCTAAAGGTACCTAAATGCCCTAGAACTCCTAAAATTTATGGTGAAGGACTTCTGCAATCAACTTTTAGTTCAATGAATCATCTGGTACACAGGTAAAACATTTTCAGCGTGTTCCACAAAAGAGATTTACACGTAACAAAACCATAGATAGTGGCTGCAACCTCAAAGGCAAGGAGATCATGTAATCTTAAAAAACTAGAAAACCCTAGACCTGTCGACTTGGTAATAGCTTCCAATTTCCAACTAATTTCTATGAAGAAAGCAATTGAGTTGCTTAAATTTCATAGATGTTGAAAGGCGTCTATATTCTGCATATCAATTAGCTACTAGACAAGCTTATCTAACCAAACAAATGTCATTTCACATACACAACCACCATTACTAAGCATGTTACTCTTCTTAACTATTTGGATCAACATCATCTTTCTGCTTCTTGATTTAAAACAACAGCCAGCAGAATTATAACAATCAGCTTAACAAGTACACATGATGAGGCAAATAAGTACGCACCCATGCCCTAACTGACTCAGCTCCCCTTGGGCTAAATGTTGATTTATTCTGAGGTTGACTTCATCTATTGAGAGCCACATCCTTCAAGCATTCCAAGAGGAGGGCAATGATACATGTCCATTGAGTAAAGATTTGCATTTCATAGCATATAAAGTGCAAATTTATTGCATTACTAGAAAGCACAACCCTAATGCAAAATTTTGGTATATATGCCCATCACCAACAGCAGCATTCTTGATACACAGCATTTCATGGAAAAAAATTCAATTCAAGACTCAGGTTACAGATTTTCCTAGTTTTAATTCTACTTCTTGATGCTGGTAAATGAGAAAATATTTTGTTCGGTCAAAATGTCGTAGGAAAGGGACATGTGGTCTCAAAGCTACAGGAGCAATGTCATTCTTGGAAGATTTCTTGGGGAATCTCAAATTCAATAATTTGGTCATCATCTATTACTGTCATTGGCCAATGAACCCAGGAAGGGTGACCTAGAAAGGCCATAACCTTGACATATTTAACAAAATGACCCATGCCAAAATACGAAGCAGAACAATTAACCAAGTTCAATGCATACATTCTTTCTTGCACAAAAAGATTTTTAGTATTTCCCATAAATCAACCAACACCATTCATAGCCCAAGTTCAACAATGTCATTTTTGGAAGATTTCTTGGGGAAGATCAATTTCAATAATATGGCTATCATCCATCACTGCTCCTGAAAAAAAAAGGGACCCAGGAAAGGCGACCTAGAAAAGGTCATAACCTTGACATATTTCACATAATGACCCGCGACAATATACGAACATTTAAACAAGTTCAATGCACTCTTTTTTTGCAAGAAAAGAATTTCGATATTTCCCATAAATCAAGAACAACACTATTCATAGCTAGGTTCAACTTCACTAAGAGTATACCTGTCTCATACTTTGCAAATATATTTGCAAATGAGGAGCCCCTGAAACTTTTGAACAAAAGAAGGTCCACACCTTGGTTTCCAGCTCCAAAGTGCATTATCAATTTAGGACAAACACACAGGCATAGGCACACAAGGCATCGTATGAAATCTAACAAATTAGGATGCTAGTCCCACATGAATGATGCATATTGATGTGCAAGTAAGACTGACATCTTAAATATACACGAGATGTCAGACAGCTGGTTCTAATAAGGAAAAGAGATGCCAGGGGCATCTGAGATTAAATTATAGCAATGGCAAGGGGTACTTGACAGCCACTACACCAGAAACCATACGTGAACCATCCATATTTCCCGAAACAAAAGCTTCTCAAGAGTAATGGAGATTTAACAGACATCAAAAGTACCTCATATGTCACGGAACCACCAGACATTGCTGGTTGGCGAAGTGTAACATTGCAGACGGCACCATTTGCAGAGAGAATACAAACTGTCCTTGGCCCTTGCTGTGAAAAAGCCATAATCTTTGATGCTATGTCCTGTAACAAAGAAGGGTATATTATTAGATGACTACACATACTTTCAGTAGGTTACTATAAAGAGAGATGACAGAACCTTCATAACCACCTCTCCACCACCACATCCTCTCTTTTATTTTCAGAAAATAGGAAGGTAGAAAAAACAGTTATTCGTTGAGATCTATGAAGCATATCTACAATTGGGAAAAATGATTACGTGGTGCTAATTTAAACAACATTTGTTAAGCTACATGAATTGTGAATTCAAATCATCAAACTCCATTAAGGCTCACTTATTCTCACAAAATGAATTAGAAGAACAATGCTAATTTGAGGAACGAAAATACTGAAATTTGCACAACTCCCATATTAAATAAACCCAATGTCCAGTGCTTTATCTAGCTTGCAAGTAATTTAAAGTATGCTGTCCAAAGCTCTCCCTTCCGCAGAAGCAATGAAGTGCAAATACTTTGGGTGTGGTGTGATACCAAAAATAGGCACCAGAGAGTAAGAACAATAAAATAACCTTATCTGTTGATTAATAGTTTTAAACACACATAAATTTGAAAGCACAAAATTCTTGAAGTGTCCCAGCTAAAATGCTATGTTCCGGAGCATAAAATACAATTTTTCCTTCCCAGAATTAAGTAAACTGTCTTTTCCCCAGATGGCTGTACGTAATAACTAACACCATGTCTTGACAGGTTTATACACAACAAAGGGGAATCGAGCCATGTACACAGCAGCTAAACAGACACTGCAAACACAATTACTATTTTTGTTTCTTCATCTACATCTATTGATCAATAGATTATATATCTATATTATACAGGTTTCGAAAAACAATACCCTCCACGCTTTTTGCGCATTTATGTTAAAGATTGCAAGCTCTACATCAAGTGCATGGTAAAAAGTAAAATCCACAAGCATGTTTGAATTGTTGCATAATTAAAGCTTCATCCTTTCATCCAAACTATTGGTTCAATATACCCCACGGAAATATTCAAAAGAAATCCTTGCCAAACAACATCAGATTAGAATAAATGCTCTTGATTGTTGTCATTCCGCCCAAAACTCCAAATCTGAAGCATGATGGCATCACTGCTCCATTTTTTTTATTTTTTATTTTTTTACCTTTACTGCATCCATCCCTGTTTTATATAAACCTTCAACAATTAAAAGACAGATCATGTATTTACATTTTAATGGTAAAGCAAATATTTCCCCTCCTCCAGTAAATTCCAAGAGACTTAACCACTAGAAGACTCCTTGACTAATTAAATCTTAATTCCAAACTAGTTGGGGTAAGCTGCATGATCTAGCTCCTCGATTCGTTTGTTATAGGCTACATGGCCTGTAAGCTACATCACTAGACAGTTTGCCACTTTAGCCAACTAATTTTTTCATTTCTCTCTCCTCCCCACCTCTTCCAGTACTTCAATTTGAATTAAAACACTAAATATTAGATATAAGAAAACATGCTCAATGACCTTAACTTATCATCAATATCGCCAGCTCCACATTCCAATGGTTGTAGTCATTTCTTATTTGGATCTCTCTGGAATTTATTTATCTCCATGCTAAATTTTTGCACTCTTGTTATGAACATGCTACTTCTTCCTCGCCCAACACAATGCCACAAAGCATGGCCAGTTTAATTGCAATTGTACGAAACTTATGATCATCATGATTTATCAAACATTATACTTAGCCAACAATCTCTCAAAATCATTACAAAAAAGCACTGACAGTTACCAAATAGTTGATCATATACGCAGAATATTCAAATTTCTCATATTTGTAACTTGCTGAAATGCAGCAGAACCAGGTTTGTTGCATGCAAGTACCAACCCAAGAGTCTAGCCTGCCACTAATTTGTTTTGGCGACATGAACTTTTTCATTATGAAAATGCAACCTTAGATTCATTATCAAAATGGATATACCTTAAGAAACAGGGCAAAATTCTAAGGCTTGAGAATCCAAGTAAAGAAAGTTAAGAAAATGTATGAAATGACCTTCAAAATTAGATGATTTTGAACCTCGAAATGAGTCCGTCGTCACACTATAAACATACACTAATAACCAACAACCATCACAAGTAATGCCCTTTTAATTCCCCAAAAACTTCAATTATTTGAGGCATTTGAATAGTGCCTTTGTGCATCTAAAAGATTGGTTAAAGAAACACCGCTGAAATCAAAATGAAGACTTCATTTGCACAAAATTAGACCAAAACTTAAAATTCTACTATCTCCAAGATATCATCTAAATAATCAAGGACAAGACGTAAAAGACTGTATTTTTCACACTTGCTGCATTTTAATTTTAACAAACAATATAATAAAGCATTGCATCCAAAATATAACTTCAAAAACTGCACTAATGCATACCTCTCCTGCTTTCACCGTAATCACATGCGGTGTAAACCCTACGCCTCCAACCCCGCCTGTCCAACAAGAAAACAAAAATTCTTTCAAAACACAAGCATACATTTCAACAAATAATCAACAAAATTTGCACACAATTACCTAAGGCATCTAGCTGCTTCTTCCCAGAACCTGGCGGCCTTCCTCTATGCTTTTTAGAAGGATGTTCAGATGCCACATCAGGCGTAACACCGCTGCCGCCTACTCCACCAGAATCAGCATGACCGGCCGACATTCCTTCAGGAATGGGGGTGGGTGACAAGCCCAAGGCAATGTTACCGTCAGGCGTGTACTTCCTGGGCCTTCCACGCTTCTTCTTGGAGGACTCTATACTAAACCTCATCCCTGAAGAAGATGTGGGCGAAGATCCATCAAAAGCAACTTCAGGCTTGGATTGCAGCCGCTGGCCTGACATCGAATTGAAGGGGAAACCACCAACAATAGCAGGAGCTTGAGGAGAGATATTGGGGTTGTTGATCAGGTGAAGGGAAGTAGTTGGGGAGTAGGAGGAGGCGGGCCCCAAAATCATGTTTGCCTGTTGTGATTGTAATTGTTGTGGCGTTGGTTGTACATGATGTGGCTGTGGTTGTGCTGGTGGCTGAGGCGGTGGCTCTCTTGACTCCATTCTAGTTTTGTAATTGAGGGTTTTTGTTTATGTTAGAATTGTAGGAAATGTGAAGAGAAAATTGGGAATTTGAGTGAGTTGCGATGCGTGTGAGTTATCTAACGCTACAAGGTCCAAAAGTACTGGTTGGAAAATGGAACTAACAATTTGTTTGAGTCTCTTGATAGAGAGAGAGTGCGCATTGGACCTTGGCGTACATATGGAAGTGCAAGACCAAAGGGAAGACGATTTTTTCTTTTTTTTTTCTTTTTAACTAATAAAGTAGGGTTTTGGACTTTAGGGTTTTAAAGGATCAGGTGTGTCCGGTTAGGTTCGAATCTGGTTCCAGGTCGCGAATGGTTTTTTGTTTTTGGAAAAACTTTGAACTACACCTTATAGAGTTATTATTTTATTTTTTCATTATGTAATAATTAAATAAACTGAAATACGCTTGATTGTACCTGTAAAATGCATTTTTCCGGAAATTTAAGAAGTGTTTGGTTATATTTACTCTTGAATAAATTTAAAACACATGTGTTATTGTAGGATACGTTTTTATTTTTGTCCTATACATTTTTAATATAAGGGATGGTACCCGTGCCGTGCGTAGCATCATTTTTTCCTTTTAATTGGGACTATAATATTATTATTTTCAAAAACTTCTGTTTGATCAAATTCAAAAGTTCAGGGACTGAATTTCTTTTTTCAAATAAAAACTAAGCTTTAGAAAGAGTAAAGTGATTTCTGTGTGAAAGAAAAGAAAACACTTTTCACGAAAGACTTCATAAGTTTTTAGGATTTATCTTTTTTTCTTTTCTTTTCTTCTAGAATTTCCAAAGATCGATTCTGTCATTTGGGATGCTCCTGCTACTGGCTTGCATGAGCTTCTTTGAGGTGATATGGCTCGAGTTGCCTCGGTCTACTACTAGTTTTGTTTTTTCTTTTTGACTTTTCCTCTGCACAGAAGAACTATTTTCTTCTTCGCGCGCCTTGGTCATGTTTATAATTTATAAACCCCCTGTACACATCACATGCAGGCATCCTGCTCATTTCAGTACAATCCTCAGAAAAAGCACACAGTGAATCTACGCATACTGTTCCACCTCGATGGCTTTGAATAAATGGAACAATCTTACTCTGCACTTAATTTCAGCCTCTGCTCGTTGCCATTATTTTCTCTGTTTCTGAACCTGAGAGGCTAACTAAAAATAGCTAACCCAGTTTCGTTCGTATATAATAGTCTAGTTGGGCTCTTGCAACTGGAAGCTAGAAGCCCAGCCTGAATTAAAATGCTTCCAGGTTGAATATTCATAATATGTTCATTCTTCCTCGTGCTTCCAGTTTTTAATTTCCTCCCCTTTTAGAGGATGAAACTTTTTTATGGTATACAAGAAAGTTTTGATATCTCTCCTCATATCTCTTCTTTTCGTTTCTTTATTTCAATATCCAAACAAAAGAAAATTAAAAATGTCCTCCCTTTAATTTCCCTTGCTTTTCTTTCCATTCACATTCCACAAAAACAAAAAAATCTCCCTCTTTCACTATTAGTGGGCTTATATTAAATAGTGAACTCCTTTTAAGGATACAGAAGCCCATGATTCAAACCATCTCTTTTAAGAGTTTACCTTGACATGGTAATACAATCCCTAATCTCTTAGTATTCAAGATTTTGTCTGTCTGGGTAGATAAATATTTCTGTTTTAATTTGTTCAGAATCATTAAACAATGTATTTTTTTTAAGGTAAATAATATCTTTAGATCATTTTACATATCATTCGAAATTAAATTCTATTTTCAAGCAATTTTAAAGACAATTCTACCGTATCGACCAAGTGTTGGTTCCACGTTTTAATAAAAAAAAATCAAAGAAAAAAATATTTTTTGACCATCGGACTAACCTCTTGATTTAAAAAAAATTACAACAAAAAATCTTAAAGTTTACCTTGGAAGAGGTTTGCTCCTTTTCTTAACTCACTAAATTCAAACTTTGAGATCAAGATCTATAATAAGTTTTAAATCTCTCTAAATGCAACTATTCGATATGAGAATGCATTTTTATGATCGTTTAGGGATAGATTTATTCTGAATTGATACGTAAACTAGTTCGATAATATTTTTACTCGTTGAACAAATATAAAAGATTTAAAACAAGATGTTAATATAAAATTAAATTTAATCTCAAATAATAATGGTGATATAGATTTTGTATTTATTTTTTAGAATATGGGAATAGATAGGTTTGTTTATTGGGAAAAAAAATTGATTTTCCAAGAGAAGGAAAGAAAGTTTGTGTTAAGGTTATTTTTGTTGTATAAAAAAATCAATTAAGAATATAAATTATACTTTTAATTAAACATAGATTTTATTGTTATGTATAATGAAATTCAATAAAAATAAAAAGTAATAAATACATTTAGCTTGTGCTTGATAAGTATTGTAAGAACACCTCTTATCTTTTACCTTAAATTAGCATAGATGTTTTGCGTTGCTGCGAATAAAAAAAATAGGATTTTAGCTATCAAGTGTCACGAGCTACGTTGAAACTTATGAAAATGTCAAGATTGTGATTAAAAAAAATATTAAAAATATAGGGACAAAAGAAAAAGGTGTCAAATGAAAACGTTCGAGGGAGAGGGAAATGTGGAAAACCAAAGACAAAAACGAAAAAGAATAGATTTTTTTGGTAAATAAATAAAAAGGCAAAGTAAAAAAAAAAAAAAAAAAAGAACTAGCTCTGAGCGTCTAACACATGAGCTTAGAGCGGCCTGTGCGCTTTTGCCGAGAATCCTTGCTGAAGATACGGTCTCACAACTGAAGGCGGACGTTGTGGTTTGTGAGGGCCCACGAAGCTCCCGTCCTCTATTTCCAGCTATCCAATCTCCATCGAAAAGACAAAAGTCCCATTCTGTGAATCTTTTCAGATCGAAACCATCCGAAATCATCCAGCAACACCGAAAGTCTTTATTCCAACACAAAAGGTACCGTTTTGCGCATCTTTTCAAACACCAAATCACTGCCACTCACGTGATGGGTTTCTACAAAATGAGAAAGTCAGCCACAATCAACGGTTAGAATTGGAATGAGAATAATGAAGATCTACAACAAATTGAAATGGTTGAGACCCAATTTGGAGGCCGAAGACTCGAACCGCAAACTTCCGTCACCCAGTCCGCAACCATACTTGCCTTTCTAATAATAGTAAACTTTAAAGACACATTAGGCATAACAACAGTACGTGATGTTTGATATCTGCTGTGACTGGAGCAACTTCCCAAGCAGAGTGTAAAACTTGATTCTTGAATCCTTGATGGCTGACAGAACAGCAGCAGCAGAATGGATTAAAATCCCTTCAGAGCTTCCCTGATCGTATTTGGCAGTTGCAATATTCCTAAAATCTTTGAAAAAAGAGCATTTTCTTTTAGAATGTGTTATGGTTAAAAAGGTTGCAGTTTCCTGAAAATTACTGCATATTCATTTTACCAATCAGTTCTAATCAACATGCGAAATATCCTAAATTGCAAATCTTTTGAAAGACTTTTTATGAATATCCACACCACGCTTGCACTTGCACTTTTTATGAATATTCATTTTACCCCTAGCTACGAGGATGAAAAAATTGAGGTTTTCCGTCGCCATCTCTGGCTACTAGACGGTTGTCAGAGCTGTTGAAAAGGACAACGCTCGCTGCCTAAATGAATTACTAATTACTAGTATTTCCTTTTATTGTGAAGAGGCTGGGTTGGGCTTTACTTGCCCATTCATTCGCGAGTAGCCCAGCAAGCTAAGGCCACTCGTCGTAGAACATGGGCCTAACCGAAAGCGGCACAAATTCTTCTTGTTTTTTTTTTTTTAAGGATTTTTCCTCCAATAATTTTAAATTATTATTTTGAATAATGTACATCAAGAAAAATAAATATAATTTTCAAAATATTAAAAATAATAAACATTGAAAAGGTGAATATAATACTAAAAAAAGTTTCTACTAGAAATCTTTTGACTTAAAAATTTCTAGTTATGTATATATATAGTCATTCAATTTCAATATTCCTCTCAAATTAAGGCACTATACTTTCATATTAAACTGAAAAAAAAAAAAAAAAAAAAAAGAATGACACGGAGTTAAAGCATGGCCTATGTGAAGATTATTATTAGTTACACGATCTTATAATATTAAGGTAAAAATATTTGGTTGAAGAGCAAAAAACATTAAATCTTTTCCTTAATTTTAGCAAACCAAATTCAGTCCATTATTTTTTTTTTTTAAAAAAAGACAATATATAATGGAATTATCTTTTAAAAAATGACACAATATCGTAACAAAAACAGAATAAAGTTTGGAAACCTTTTAGTTAATATTAGAAAATCAATTCCAAACTAACTAATGAAAAGAAAAAAAAATTTTCTTTCCTTTTGCACTACATTTTTTTCATAGTAATTAAAGAGTATCTCTCCTAAAGTTAAAATGGGGTCCAGTTTTCTATTCAATAGCTTCCCTAAAATTGTTTCATTAAAATTCAATGAGATATTCACCTCAAATTAAGGCTCTAAAAATCTTGTAAACATAAATAAATCTAAAGATGGCAAAATATGAAGAGTTTTAGTTCAATAATTTAGGTCAACGAGGTTTTCATACTTAAACATTTTTTGTTTACAGAAATCCCATATTCTAATGAAGATTTTACTCCTAAATTTAAGATATAAAATTTTTTACCAGTCATTATTATTAATTTTAGTAAACAAAATCACCAATTATTATCATTAATTTTTTCTTAATTTAACTCAAAGGTAATAATATATTTATCAATTTTGTTACAAATTAATTTTAATCAAATTAAGAAATTCATTATAGTTAGTGTTGGGTCCAACGCTAACAAAAATTTAGATTTTAACTTTTGAGTCAGAATAAAAAATTTATAAAATAAAAATAAGTAAATTATAATAATTTTTTTTGAAGTATTATAAAATTATAAATATTATTAAAAAAGAAAAATCATCTAAACACCCATAACATTACTTTAATTTTTCATTTTAATAATCATGCGCTTGAATTTTTTTGTTAAGATTATGTTAATGAATATGATTTGCTAACTAAAAGGAAAATCCATGATCATGAATGTTTCTTGGAGTCATAAAACTCATAATAAAGCAACATTCCTTTAAAGTTGAAAAATCGCCAAGGCATGAATTTTTACTTACTCTTATATTTTGTCACTTAAACAACAAATTAGTGGTGCAGTAGTCCTCAAAAAAATGGAATGAGCAATTGACAAACAATCGTGCCACCCTATCTAAGCCTCGTATGCAGGCTGTTGCCGATTTCACAATGGTACTTCCATAGTTTATAATAGCAATCGTAGTTGAAAAAACGATTACGATCGTAGATCGTGGCTTATTACAATAATAAAATAACAATCATAACAATCGATATTGTAAATACATTAACAACTATTAATAAATTTATTCTAATTCATATATTTTTAATAGTTTTACTAATTAAGCATACTAATAAGTAATAACATCTTTAATAGTTTAATATTATACAATAATGGTTAAATGTATTATAAAAAATATTTAATAACACTTCTAATAGATAAATATCACAAAAAAATAATAAAATATATTACAATTTCAATAAACACATTACAAAATATTCATTTTTAAAATAATCGTACTAGTGAATCATAATAATAGTTATCATTTTGTTGTTGAGTGATTCTTATCCATCAAAATTACAACCATAACTAGTTTTGAAAAGCAAATTAGAAAATGATATAAAATTAAAAAATAATAATAAGTTTTTGAAAGAATGAAAAACCACCTAATTTATTTTTTTCCAAACTAAAAGGACTAATTTATAATTTATTCAATTAAAGCAAGCATTTGCTTTACAGTCTTTGAATTTACGAATGTAAGACAGACCACAAGTAGAATAATAAAAGATTAAATCATATATTAGTCCTTATAATTTTGATAAATGAATTAATTAGTTTTTAATGTTTTAAAAATTAATTATTTAATCTTTTAATTAGTATTGACATGTTTAATGTATTATATTTTATTCTATAAAATATTTTTTCATCAATCTTTTTCATGGTATAAATTTATTTTTCTCTTTTTTATTTTTTTTAAATATATAAATTAAAAAATATAAAATGAACAAAATAAATAAATAATTGGTTTTTGAAATAAAAAAAGTAACTAAATTATTGTTCAAAATAAGAGGACTAATTTATAATTTATTCAATCAAAACCTGCAAATGCAGGAATTTGATATTAAAGTCTTCACATCTCTTACTTTTCAAAATGAAATGGTTTTTCTTTTTCATTTTTTTTCCAAATTCCTCTCTCTTATCTCATCTGATTCTCTATCTCTGTCATCATCCAAAACTTCTCTCCCTCTCAACCTCTTGTATCTGTCTCTCATCCTCTCTGCCTCTCTACCTCTCTTTGCCTCTCTGCCTCTCATCTTTGTCACTCATCATTGCTTGAATTTCGACAGCTGAAACGACTGAAATTTTAGCTTTTTTTTTTTTTATAACACTTTTATATAATGATAAATAACAATGTTACATAACGATAATATCGTTATTTGTCGTTATCCACGTGAAACAAGGTAAAAACATCCATAACGTCGAATAACGATAACTCGTGTGTCCTATTACTATTATATAACTGGTCATTATGTTACGTAATGGTTGTTTGCTAAAACTATAGGTACTATAGCTAAAAAGATTTAGGTCTCTTTTAAACTATATACTTAATAAGAATATTTTTTTATAGGACGGTAAATGATATTTTCAGGTTAGTTTGTACGAGGCATGTGATACGTTTAAGGGTAGAGAGGTAAATCAATAAAGAAGGAAAAGGTAGAAGAGAAAATAATCAAAAGGCTGGGGGCAGAAATAAAGAAATCAAGCATCCTGCAGCAACATTCATGATCTGATCGGACGGCTGGGAGAAAGGCTAACCACCGATGGACGGAACAGATCAAAGAAAAAAACCCAAAGGGAGCACTTCATTCACAACCAACAATGAGCTTGAGTCTGGAGCAATAGTAAACAAACAGTGTTTACTTCAGTTCTTTTAGTTTTTTCTGAATGTGAATTGAGATTTTTTTTTTTCTGAATAATTTTAAGAGTATATCTAATATGAGTACGGAGAGAAATTTAATAATTTCTCTCCATATTGGATTCAAGAGTTGAATCCATAAAGTTAAAAAACAATACATAGCTTTTTAACCATCAAACAAACTTCTGAAATTATGTATATGTAAGAGAAATTATGAACCTTGTATTCTAACACTGGCCAATTGAAAGCACTCACCAGAAATAAAAACAGAAGGTAATAATTATATAATAAAAGTATATTACCTGGCCTCTTCGTATACTTGAAAAATTATCAATAAAATGATTTTTCTTTTCTTTTATTTAGCTTTCTAAAACAAGTTCATACTTAATGGGCTGTCGAATTTCTCTCCATAGTTTATTATTTTAATATTACTTTAATATTTTCATTATTGTAAATCTTGGTTATATTCAAATCAAATTATTATAGTAAAAATAGAAAATATAATTCTTATTTTTAAAAATAAAAAACTTAATGATCATTAACATAATGCGATGCTCTAAACCTTTTTTTTAAGAATTATAGCAATTAATACGAATAAAATTATAATATAATAATTAAAAAAATCTAAAAAATGTTTTAGAGAAAACATCCAAAAAATTGTAAATTGAAAAAATTACATAATAAAACTTGCTGTGAAGTATTTTCTAAGAAAACGAAAGATAATAACAAAATTTCAAATGTAGTCGAAGGATTTTGTAAAAAAAATAAGAAGATATAAATTTATTTGAAAAAAAAAACCTTGAAAACTAAATTTATTGATCTAACAAAACCAGCATAGAATTTATTGATCATTATCTTTCAATAATAAAATTACTCGTACTTTTTCCAAGTTAAAATTGCCAACTCCACTAAATAGAGAATTCGAAATTACCATAATCTTCTTGTTTTTTTTTTAAGGAAAAAAACCCATAATCCGGGGACAGTACTGATGATTATATCAATTACAAACAGAAAATGTGACAGAATACAACAAACAGTTGACCGTGATTAGAAAACTTGCGTCTTTCAATTTTATCAAAAGGGCGAGTCTTTACATCACAATCGCTAACCAGTCCACTGCTCAGTCCAAATAATAATATTGACAACCAAAAAAGGATCAAGAAAGCGAGAAAATCAGCGGCATCATTTCAGAGGGAAAAGGAGGCTCTATCATTGGTGTTGTTGGCAAGGCTGATGAAGCGATGATTTCATTTCAACTTTTGCTAGAACAACTAGCAAATGATACCTTCTCCCCACAGAGGAGATAAATATAAATTTAGTGTGCAATTTTTTTTATTTGAGTTTTTTTCTTTTTTCTATATAAATGTGTGAGTTTTCCATTTTTTTCTAATCAAATATTTTTAATTGTTAAATTTACATATCAGTATATTAGCATGAACACCAAATTTGCATGATCATTACAATTTGATTCTCATTAAACGTCCATACTTGATTGTATTTTTCTATCATTACAATATGGTACAAAGTTTTTTTTTTAAAAAAAAGATACACCTAAATTTTTTTTTCTTTTCTTGCTTTTATATTTTTCTTTTCTTACGTAATTAATTATCATCTATGCAGATTGATTTATTTTTTATGCTTTTTATTCAAATTTTCTTTTAATTTTGATAAATTTTTATAACTATTTTATTATTTTAATTTATAATTTTATTTACCATGATAAAATATAGTGACATAAGATTTTCAAGAGAATATTTATCAGCTTTTAAAATTAGAAACACTCTATTGATAATTTTTTTTGAGAAAACAGATGCTTGAATAAAAAACACACTCAAATAGAAAAAAATATATAAATATAAACACACAGTTAAAAAAATATATGTATAATGTTCATGCACACTTGGTGCACACGTTAGCACGTTGATGTATCAATTTAAGATTACATCAACACGCTTTGCAGTTAGCACATTGATGTATCACTTTAACGAACACATCAACATGCTGACGTGTTAGTTTAGCTACGCCAACATACATTTTATAAAATCTAACAAAAACACTTGATTAGAAAAAATTAAAAGTTTATACCCTCAAATAGCAAAAATAACAGGGGACACGCAGAACATAAAACATAGAAAATTTCGCACACCAAAAATATAATAATCTCCCCTCCCCCAACAAAGTCCTGTGCATATATATATATATATATGTCTCACAACAGCATTCCAATACTTCTAGCACCTAATCTCATATGAGCCTGCTTTGGTAATATAACGAACCCATTCAACTGTGTTGTACCCACTTTTCTCCCATACCTGCAAAAAATCACTTAGGTCATAGCTGCTTCTTTACACAAAAAGTAACGTAACTTTAGTTCAGATTTATACCTTCAGAAAACGAACGCGTAAACCAGATGCTGTAAACATCGGAACCTGGAACTCCATCTGAATCGGAGGCCTCGTCCAAGACTTCTTTTCTGCCATTGTCGAAATCAGCTCAACTTCTGCGCTCATGGTTGGTTCAGTTTGTCCAGGAAATTTTCTTATCCTAAACAGCTCCAAAAACATGCCAGTAAGCAACAGGATAGGAGTAAAATCCAAAGATGACACATTTACAATAGAACATAATTATACAATAAAGCTAAAAAGCACCAATTAGTAAATGTACAGGGGTAATAAAGATAGCAAGCACCGATTAGTAAATATAGTGAGGTAATAAAGATAGCACGCACAAATTAGTAAATATACTAGGGTAAGAGTTGAGCGATTTTCCTGTTTGAGCCAAATGCATGACAGCATGACATCTTATAAACCATCTTACTATGGGAAATCAATTTTGGGCTCAATAATAATATTCACCGAGATGTTATCTCAATTACACAGAAAAAAGTTTGGTCAAGCCATTTCTTGAAGTTTTCCCCTTTTTGTAAACAAGTCAAAATTAGAACATCAAAACTTCCAAGTTAGTAGTTTATAATGCAGAAAAAAAAGGTGGTGTCAGTGATGGCATATACTTATTGCAATTCAGATCTGATTACTTTGCAATAAAACCTTCTTTTTATGCACAAAAAGGAAGAGATTTCAAATAATTTATTATATTAACTATGGATGGCAGTTAAAACCCCAAATGTAAGTGAACTTTTACAATTTAGAAAACAAAAAAATTAACAGAAGTTTTAACTGCTTGCTGAATAGTTTTACTTGATGTTCAATCCCTCGCATGCAGGGACCAATCTGAGATTACATGTGTTCACACTAGTGTGTATCTTCCCGAATGATAAATATAGACCTGAACTGTTTTCCCACAAGCATTGCTGGTTCTAGTCCTGATGTGCAGTGTGAGAGACAATGCCTAAAATGTCTAAATGTTTTTTTAAAAATTAATTAAGGAGGCGATCAGTATCTTATTTTCTTGCTCACGTACACGTAAACCTTCATGTAGATTAACAGTGTAGGCATCACAGGCCCACAGACTATCATTTCAGTACACCATCATCAGAAAGGCATTTGATGAATCTATCTGTACTGTCCGGCCTAAATGTCCACAAATAAATTAAACAGTCTTACTCTTCCATTGATACAGATTTCACAAGAAGTTAATATGTACACAAATATTCATAAAAGATCATCCAATCTCAAGACTAGCCTCCGCCTGTTGGCATTATTTTCTGGGTAATTGTTCTTCGGAGGCTATGAAATAATAGGTGGTGTATAATTATTGAACCTAACACGAAGAAATAATCTAAACCAGCATAAAAGGTCATTCTTGGATCAGAATGTCACTATAAAACTACGGCCATTCCTAAAGGTAAGACTAATACTTTTTCAATGTGATATTGAAAAGGATACATCCAACATTGTTGTTAGTATATAAAGAACAACCACCAAAAGAACCCAAAAAACAAATAAAATGTACACATTTAATAAGCTAAGCATACTTACTTCCAAACTATGCAATCAATTGCAGCATTGTACTTTGCTCGACCAGATGTAACTTGGAAATTTGTTTTAGCAGTTTGTTTTGGAACGGGAATTTTGATGACAACCCCAAGTGCAAACATTTTTGCACCGAAGACACTCTTGATCTGAAAATTAGTCTACATAAGATAACTGCACCACTACAAACATCCACATAAAGCATGATAATTGAACCCAAAAAAAAAAAAAAAAAAAGAGGAAAAACAAACTTTGACATTCACTTCCATGCGCGTTCGACCAAGTTCCTTGATGGTTGGCAATACTCGAAAAGGAAGATTAACCCCTTCGGTAATACGATACCTAGGAAAAAATAAATCACCGAGCAATTAGATACATTATCACTTACGAAAATGACAAAAAGATGGCACAACTAAACCAGCACCAGCCACTTTAACATTAGTAGAGATTAATTACACGTCTCACAGTATAAAAATTGTTGAACGACTTAAATGGTAAGCCTCAAATCAAGACAATCACCATAAGGCCCATGGAGGAAAAGGTAGCAGAAATAAAAAAAGCAACATGACCATGGGATAAGTATAGATAATAAGCAGTACAAATAAAATGAACATGCAATGAAATAAATAAAAAAATTAATCCAATATGCTTGATCCTTAATAGGAGAGTAAAAATAAGAAATATATATATATGTTCAAGCTAGACTGTGTTTGGTGGATGAAGATAGAACAGTCTATTCTAAATAGAGGCTCCAGATAGACTGTAGGGAAGCAAAATCAAGACATGACCACTTGTCAAGCATATAACGTAGTAAATTTTCCATGATTAATGAAATTAAAATCCTTTGACAAGTATGTTATTTCCAGAGCCCAGACTATTATCAGACCAAAAGTCAACAAAATAATATCTAATTTTTTTTATCTTTTTTTTTTTTTGGATGAACTACTATATGTTTTCTTTTGATAAATTAACAATTCATTGAAAAAGCAGACCCGCAGACCAACTGCTATATATATTTGTCAGAATCCAAAATTCACTCGTAGCTTGATTATTTGAGCATAACTTTTGGCATATAAGAGATTTCTTCTGCTTACTTCATCAATTCAAATTCACCATCTGGTGGGACAAAACTAACTGTCTTCTCAGAGTTAAACCTCGTCAAATTTACACATTGATGGAATGTAACATCATCAAGCTCAATTGTTTTGCCACTGCATAAAACAGCACATTCTAAGATCAGGTTACTGAAACAAACATAAAGGTAGTACCTTGCAGTCTAAAATCAACAGGGTATAAATTATGTGTTTAAAAGGAATTTAAATATCAGAGACGTAAAATGAATTGATCAAATTTAGATGCAAAATTGATTTAAAGAAAAGAAATCACAAAAGACGGAAGAAAAGAGTAGCTAAGGCTATTCCATGAAATGAATTTTGTAGCTACTCCAAATTTACGATAGTTCATAATATTTGCGTATGGTCTAAATTCTAGAGAAAACAGACAGCAAAAGATAAATGAACAAAAGCAGAAGAGGAAATGAAATATCATTGCAGTCCATAACTGATTAATTTTAAGACCCAGCAAGTGAAAACCCTTCCAATACTGTGATGATGATTATGATGTGTGTGTGTGTGTGTGTGTGCGCACGCGCGAGAGAGAGAGAGAGAGAGAGAGAGAGATCAGCATAAAGCTGATTTCACAAAGAAAACTACCAAGTATTTGTTCATCCCAGGACAGGTATACACTAGGTTGGATAAACCAGCAGAACCAAGTCTACTATTATGACATTTTTCAAATGGATTACATTAGCAAGATGAACCCAAAGTTCATTTACAGAGGAAAAAAAAAAAAAAAAAAAACCCGCATGCAAGGAAAGCACTTCTCAGCCTAACCAATTGGAAAAGATAGAAAAAGGAAAAGAAATCAGAAAAATAGAATGATGCATTATGCTAAAACAAGGTGAGTCATAAAGAAATATGAGAACAACTAAAGGAAAAGGACAGAATTGTCAAGGATAATACTTTTTTGATGGTAGGCAATGGAGGGATGATACTTATGTACCATGAAAAAATACCTTTTAGTAGGACGAGATTTCAGTTGTGACTCTTTCTCGAGGCCAATTTTATCATTTAAACCCAATTTCAAATCAGGCATTCCAGAGAGGAAGCACTTCATAAGAACCTTCCCCGTTACATCACAACGTAGAACATTACCTATAATCACCAAGTTATTTATGAGCAACCAAGTCAGTGGTTGTATTATATCCAAAAGAACAGATACAGAAAATCTTTAAGAAAAAAATAAAACCCACCTTTTGAAGACATAAGAAGGTTTACACTTTCCACAATATCCAGAAAAACCTGTTATTAAATGATGTGAAAATCCCACCAAACAGCCAAAACACAAAGTGAGAGGCAGGGAAAAATTGAATCACCTCATTCTTCTTATAAACAAGGCCTTCTCTGCGCCAACCAACAGCACCCGTGACTTGTAAAGTTGCATTGGGGACAGGTTTATCTGTAGGCTATTTTATTTTTTCCAATGGTAAAACAAGAAGAGAAATGGGTCAAAGGCTAATTTAACATAACATGTGCATTGACGAGAAGCAAATGCTCAACTAAAAACATGATTTGAATAAGCGTCCAACTGCCATAATTCTTCTGAATGGCATTTACTGAAACAAACATCTAACCTTCGATGAAAACGGTGAGCGCACTCCTTCTTGAGTGATGTAAAGCTTTAAAATCTCAGGAGAAAGATTTTGTGGGTAACCAAAGTCCATGATTTCTGCAATTTCAATGTCGATACCAATTAGTCACTAATTTACATAATATAAAGGTTCTGAAATGCAAATTAGATTTAACATTTCATCTGTTGGGTAACGCCAAATGTAATTAACCCACAATGTAACGGTAATAAAATAGATTTCATCAAATTTCAAAAAAAAAAAAAAGGGGGAAGGTTCAAATATGCAATCATAAGAGTCTAGTTGCTTCAAGTGCATACCATCCAGTAGCTCATAAATCAAAACAAAATTATTTCTGATCGCATCTTCGTCAAAAGCCCCACCGAAGTATGATTTGAACAATGCAACAGCCTGCATGCAGCATAGAGAATAGCAGTATCAATCACTAAAGAAACAATTTACTTCTTTCCTCCTACAAATAAAATATCCAAAAGAGATACTATTTGATCATTGGGCGTGTGATGGCTAAAGATTTAATTTGGCACCAAAAGCACAATCGAATTTGGCGTTTGTAGTAACACGAATAATAGCTGAACAATATAATTGTGCTAGTAAGAGAATTATCCTGCAAGGAGATGATTGATGCTGGATTCTCATCGTTTTGTAGGCAGGATTTTTTTTCCCCCGGATCATTCAGAGCCAGAAAGCAATTTCCATTAGATCACTCAGTGCCTAAAAGCAATTTTCAGATGCATTTTGAAGGACCAACTAGGCCAATCCTCAAATGATTTTAAAGCTAAACCTAAAAAAAATAAGGAACTACTAAGAAGGATTTAACTACCTCAACAACAAACTTGAATGCACAAGCTACATTAGCATTGCTGCTGACAACAATCACAATGTAGACATTGCTAATTCTCATGTAAAAGAAAGAGCAACCTCCAATCTGCCGCACAGGACACGTGCCGAGTTCTTTTGTTTGCATTATATGCGTCCGGAAGGCATCCACCATATTTCCACTGAAAGAAATCATAAAAATTTAGTATTCATTGAAGATTACACATTGCAAAGCCGCCACACTTTAATGCAGCTCAGACACAGACATGAAGATCAGGACAGAAAATGCAAAAAATGGGGAAACGAGAAGAACAGGCCAAGAAAATCAGAAAAATGGAGGTGTTTCCCACTAAAAGCACATGGATGCCATAGTAAGTTTTTCACGAATTAGGGGGAATGATATAACATCGATAGATAAGGCATAGCATCCTATGTTCATCTTCCAACACCGTGTTTGGCTCCAGTCATGCAGTTCCTCTCCCTCCCATGAAAAGGAAAAGAATTCAACAGGCAATGCTTAGCGAGCATTAACTGCTCTATTGCTTTCATTACACAACAGCTCTGACCTGTACTACAAATTTAATACCAAATTTTGTCTTCTTCACTAAAGTAGAGGAATATTATATACTCTGACAATTCCTTGGAAGAGAAAAGGTAGACTTGTGAGATTCAAAACCTTGTTCTAGAGCCTTGGAGGTTTGATCCCTCTTCAAGACACAAAATTGAGAATGCTCTAGCCTCGTTGAATATCTCAAAAGCAAACTACAAGCGAAGTACCGAGCCTTGTGAATCATTGCACTCACATTTGCCGAGTTTTAGACTTTCAGCGGGACTTCTTTTCTGAAGTATATAGTTAAGAACTAGGGTGAAGAAATTGCATTGTGCAATTATTGTTTTAAACTATGAAACAACTTATCATATGTTCTGATTGACGATTACTCCTTCAAGCAATATCACGGAAAAAATCGTTTCAATATCCCAGGCATATAACAATAACATTCACTTGTTGTCCGCATAAATTATATTTTTGAAATCAAACCGAAACAATCCTAAGTTAATCTAGCAAGCGAGAAATGATTTTTACTTGCTTGTTATTTGACAGAGCCAAACATTCAAAAATCAATTGAAAAAAAAATCCATAAAACAAAAATAAAAGATACATTTGCACTGCAAGGTTCCTAAAAATCCAAAATATGAATATGAAAGCAGATATTAAGAGAGTACCCGACATCGTCGCGATAGAGGCGATTGATGAGGACATCGCCTCGAAGATTCAAGAAGTAGACCGCGGAAGCAGCCACCGGCATCTCTGATCCAGTGGATCGCACCTCAAATATTACTCAAACGACCACTTCTCTCCGGTAACCGGCGGCGGTGGAGGTTGAAAATGCAGATCTAGGGGGCCTTGAGGTTGATGAAGAGTGCTGATTCGGTAATCAGTGATATGGGAAAATTTTCAGAGAAAAAGAAATGACATGGAAGAATTTTCAAAGAATGAGGTTTTATTTTATATCATTTGATTTTATTACTAATTTGTTTTGAGATGGAGAGTTGCAGAGTTGTTATTGTTTGAAGTCAAGCGAAATGAACACATCGGTCTTTCTTTGTTTGGCACGCGAAGGCGTCCGGCACGTGCTTCTTACTTCTCTTTTAGTAATAACTAGTTGGATATTCACGCTACACTACAGGTACACAACAGTTATATATATAGAGTTAACGATTTATATGATGTAATGTCGGTAGAAAGTTTTATTTTTACTGATTAATATAAATCAAATTTATATATAGTTAATTTCTAATATATATATATATATATATATATATAACAGATTGATAGTATATAGAATAAATAGAAAATATACAAAAAAAACCCACCTAAAGTGTAGAAATATATTGAAATCAATAGATTAAAATAAAAACAATAACAAAATTGATTCTGAATAAATATGTATATATATAAAAAAGCAAATAAAAATTGTAATTTTTTTAGCTCATCGTTTTTTAAAAAAAATTAAATCAAATTATCTAAAACATACTTTTAGCTCCCTCTGTGTGTGTTTGTGTATATATTAAAAAATAAAACACTCATTTAAAAATAAAAAAATAATTTATTCCATACATTATAATAATATATTTTAAAAAATAAAACATTGATGTTCTAAAATAAAAACAACAATAATATTGATTTTGATAAATTCCGAATAAATATATTAAAAAAATGCAAATAAAACTTGTGAATTTTTTAACTCGCTGTTATTTTAAAAAAAAATTAAGTCAAACTATCTAAAATATAATTTTAGCTCTCTCTCTCTCTCTCTCTCTGTCTCTCTCTCTCTCTCTCTATATATATATATATATATATATTAGAAAATAAAACACTCATTTAAAAATATAAAAATAATTTATTTTATAAATCATAAAATATTTATAAAAAAAGCATTGATATTTTAAAATTTTATCCCAAAATTCATATATTAAAAAAACTAAATTTATCAACAAATAAAATTATATCAAAACAAATTTATTAACAAATAAAATTATATCAAAAAATTATTAGTCATTACAAATTTGTAATAAAATCAAAAATTAAAAATGTTTCGAGTGGTGAGTGTAACTTAAAAACTATATATATATAAGAGAAAGAGGTCAACCACGGTGCATGCGTGCCCAAGAGCCGAGCCTTGACTCGTCGCTAGTTAGCCTAAAAAAAAACTTGGGGTCCCGTTCATTACCGTAGAGTTACCCCAGTTCTTTTAGTTATATGTATAAATAGATTTTTTTTATGCGCACTAAGCTACGAGATCGAACAAAATACATAAATTATTTTTAAAAATTATTTCATTTTAATATCTCTTGTTATATTATACGTCTATTAAAATACATTAACTTTTGTATTTGACTGATTATTTTTTATATTTTTCATAAATTTTTTATAAAAAAATTATTTAATAGTATAAAGAATGTTAAAACTAATGGATTCTTAGATAAAAAATTATTTTGTAATGCTTTTTAAACATTTTTTTGCCTTAAAATTTTTTATTAAAAAAATAAGAGAAACAAGGACCAAAGTGACAAAAATGAAACAAAAAAGAGGGACCGAAAAAAATATTTTGTGGATTGAAAAAATCCATATTTAAAAAAAAAGGAACCAAAGTGCAATGTTAGAAAAACTTTCATTATAAATTTATTAAAAATATTTGGATACTACAAAAATGTTACTCCATAGTGAAAATAATAGTGCTTTTGAGTGTTTGTAAATAGTGAAATGAGTGTAGATCAATAGTGTTTGAAATAATGAATGAATAGTAAAACCAATGGTTTTACTTTAGTTTTTTTATAATTTATAACTAGTTGGAAACTCGAGCTATGCTACATCCGTTTAATAATTTGTATAGTATGTTGTGAGTAGAAATTTTATCTCTAGTCATTAATGTAAATTAAGTGTATTTATTGAGTGAAATCGTTTAATTTATATATGTTTATTAACCAAATAATTAATAATTTAGCATAAAAATTTGTATTTGAATAATTGAAAGGTTCATTCAAAATATTATTTTATTTTAAAAATATAGATTTTATAATATGAAAAAAATAAGTGACAAATAATTGATTTATGTGTGTAGATACATATTTAATTTCTAACTAAATTAATGATTCAAATATATATATATACAATCACATTTAGTAGACTCGGAGTAGCTATGCTACATCGGTTTAATAATTCGTACTCTATGGTGGGGGAAAAGGTTTGTCTCCGGTAATTAATGTAAATCGAATCTATTTATTAAGCAAAATCGTTTGATTTATAGATATTTATTAATAAAATAATTAATAATTTAGCATAAAAATTTGTATTTGAATAATTGGGAGGTTCTTTCAAAATATTATTTTAATTATTTTATTTTAAAAATATAAATTTTGTAACACAAAAAAAATAAGTAACAAATAATTGATGGTATGTGTGCGGACACATAGTTAATTTCCAACAAAATTAATAATTCAAATATATATATATATATATATCATACTTATCGGACTCAAAGTATACGAGCATAAATAAATATAAAATATAAAAAAACGCACATAAATTGTATAAATATATTGAAGTCAATAGATTAAAATAAAAACTACTATAAAATTGATTCGATAACTTCGACTATATATATATATATATATAACATACTTTTAATCAAATAAAACTCATGAATTCTTTATTTTAATTGACTATTAATTTTTTTAAAAAAAATTGAGTCAAATTATCTAAAACATACTTTTAGTTATATGTGTGTGTGTGTGTGTGTGTGTGTGTGTGTGTGTGTGTGTGTGTGTGTGTGTGTGTGTGTGTGTGTGTGTGTGTGTCTTGCTCTCATTTAAAACTCATAAAAATATTCCATCATATAAATTATAATAATATATTTAAAAAAAATAAAATAATCACATTCTAAAATTTTATTCCAAAATCCATATATATAACCAAATTTGGTTATTAAACATTAGTAGTAATATAATCGGATATCTATGCTCAACCTAAAATCTTAAGACATGTCATATATATTTCATCGTCATCATACTATACGTAAAATTAAAAAAAAAATAACAATAAGTCTGTTCATAATTTTTACATGTAATTCCATGATTAAAAAAATATACAAAAAAAAAATAAACGATTGGAAGAAAAAAACACAAAGAAAAAAGAAAAAAAAAGGTCGGGCAAGTTCGACTGATTGGACCTAGTTATTCGAGCCTATACAACCAAGCCAGCCCTACAAGCTTGGGCTCGTATGGTAGGCTTGCGGGCTAGTCTAGGGCCTCTTAAGCATGCTTCTCCAAGCTTGTCCGCTAACTAGCCCAAAAAAAAAAAAAAAAAAAAAAAACCCGCAGCTTACAACGAAACTCAAACTAGTCAAAATAGTCACATGCCAAATTTCAAACCCTAAAAAAATCATTTTTGGCATTTTTTTTCTCTCAAACACCTCTAAATGACTGAAATAAAGTTCATATGCACTTTTTAAATCTTAAAAATCATTTTAATGCACATTAAAATAACAAAAAAATAATCAAATCCGATTTTTGTTTCTCCGATCTACTCTATCCAATCATTTGATTACTTAAAATCACTATAGACAAACTCATCTCTCCAATATAAAACAAATCTAATGGAATGTCGTCGGTTCAAATAAGCTTGGCCAATGCTCTCTATCTTTCCTCCGAGTCTCTTTCTTCTTTTCTTTTCTTTTTTCTCTACACTTAAGAATCACAATGTATCACAAATGAAGACGTTAATTGAAATAAAAAGTTCAAAAATATTAGGAACCAAAGTGTAAAAATTTGTATAATTTCCTTATTATTGTTAGAAAAAGTCAAATCACAAAATGACCATACTATTGTCCATGCTCGATAAGTCCGTAGCTACAATAAATGAATAGCGATTACTATTGAAATATCCCACTTATTTTAGTTTTCTTTATAATTTTTAATAGCTTAAAAATTCAAATCAACTCCTAAAATTAAAAGAGAAAAGATTAATATTTTTTTCATAAATATCAGTTTAATTATAATTTACTATGGTAAGTTTTTTGCAACAATCACTAAAATTGCAATATGATGCTTATAGTTATGGTAGAGGTGAATTTAATAATCATTGTGATAAAATAATCAATCTCTTCAAAATAGTCACCAAAGTCGAAGAGAATTGTTGAATTATTTTAATAAGTAATATGAAAATTTATAGTTATTATGGATTAGCATTTTGCTAATATATTTTAGGAAGCTAAAATTATTTACACCTTAACTATATAATTATTATTATTAATCTTGACATTTTTCATCATTTAAAATTTTTTATTTATATTAAAACTTGAGCATGTTGCATGTAATATAATTTTATTTGAAATTGTCTTATTTATTTCAAAGAAAGGATGAATTTTATGCCTTTTCAACAATAATAAAAAGGGAGGATGATTTATTTCCTACTATTAACGGTACACATCTTATTTATTTATGAAATTATGAAAATTAAGGATGGCGTAAGAAACAAAAGAAAGTAATGTTTGAAAATAATTGTGTGTTTAACTAATTACACAAAAAAAAAACTAAAAGAAATGAATAGTTTACTATTCATTTACTGCAGAACAACACCCATTGTCATTATGGATCGAGACTTAAGTGTACTATGTTGCCTTTTACTTACCTCTTTATCATCCGATTGTGCATCCCGGTCCATTTGTTTGCTATGATCTTTCTTTTCGTATGAGCCACCGATATTTAATTTTAACCTTAAAATCTCAACCCTTCCTCTTTTTTTCTC